TGGGGTTCATTCGAATGGAAAGTTACAATTTTTTTCCATTTTCGGTTAAAACTCCGAGGATAAAATAATTCAAGACCCCGAGACCGGAATTCTCGCTGGACCACTAGAACCGGAATGATAAATTTCCGTCCCGTGAAAGTCCGGGTTTGAATTTAAAAATATTTTTATCTTTTATCTTGGATGTTAATAAATTAATTGACATCTACAACTATTGATTATTATCGAATAATGTAGGAATTCGGGGAATTAATTAATCAATTGGACAATTAATGAGGTGGTAAGTTGTTTGTGGGGATAATTTTTTATTTATTAAATAATATTCACATGGGAGAGGGGAGTGTTCAAATTACTCCGTGATTTATTAAACTTGTGATGGCATAATTTCAGTTTATCAAAGGCTTTTGAGCGTGTTGGGAAGATATTGACCCACAAATTCGGCCAAACATTTTCTATAGTGCGATCCCTAGTGCCAACGATTGCGTCATAACGTACGGCATATTCAATTCATGAAAGCTAACATGTGTTGGTAAACGGCTGACACATGTTCTCCATCCAGAAATTTTCATAGTTGTGTAAATATTTTTTTTCTCAATTCAATCAACAATTTTTCACCACAATTTCGCGTTTTCAAAATTATTTTCATTGTAATTAATTGAAAATTTATATTTGTCTTCAAGAAAATTATGACATTTAATTAATACCAGGGATTAATTAGGAAAAATATTGATCGTATTTATTATATTTATTATATCAGTGATATGGAGACGAATCTTTTTAGGAATGATTTAACAATTGGTCAGGTTAATTATCGATTTTGCAAGTGATCGATTCGGTTGCGATACCTTATCGTTAATTCATTGCAATTGCGAATTTAATTGGGATTTAATCGCGACATGATTGAGTTCCAATCAAGGACTGGTCCCCCACTCGTCCATTGTAATTGCAAAAAAAAAAAATCCAGTGTTCAATGAAGACGTCTCACGGTCGTCACGAATTCGATTATCAATGATTGCAAAAAAATATCGCCTCGAACTTCTGAAAGCCATGATGTCATCCGAAGGCTGAATATTCCTCAACACTTGTCGCACAGAAATTGTACCTTAATAATTATCTCTCATGATATAACAAT